ACTCCTTAACCTAGAAGGATAGAGGGACTGGAATTGGCTAATTGTACCTTCTCAACTCCACGTAAATCTCTGTTATGTTAGTTGTCCTGCAGGGCAGGCCTCTGTCACAAAGACTGTTCTGTGCGTATGTAATTAAAATAATCATTTCCCCCTACTGAATTTAAAAATGGCTGCTTTCTTCCAGCTGTACCTTGAGAACTTTGGAGTTCAGTGAGCACCGCTTTCAAGTATGGGGTCTGCCTCTATCTAGGCTTCTAAATTCAGTCTAGCTCAGCTCATTCTAGCAGTTTGAAGTGGCATTTGCACATTACTGCCATTATCCATGAGTACTGCTCCTGCGGGTGAAATTAGCTTGAGGATCAATTTTTGGCCTCTCAGGTTGTGAGGTTGTGTTTTGCTTATGAACTTAGTTTTTTTGTTCAAGAAAAGAAAAGTCATAATTTTGAGTTTGTTAACCTTTTTTCTTACAAGATCCTGTACAGACTTGAGCTTTTACAAATGAGGCTGAAACTAAAAGTCCAGTGGAAGATGCAAATCAGATCTCCATGTCAGACATCAGCTCTGTAACTGGAACTGTCTCCCCTTTCCACACTAGCAGCCTTTGGGACACTTTTAAAAGTGGTGCCTGCAGCATAAAATCTACTGTGTCTAACCATTTTCAAGTGTACAGTTCAGCTGCATTGAGTTTAATCACACTGTTTGTGGCAGCTATCATCTTTCACTCAGAATTCTTTTATCTTTTTGGTTTGAAGCTTAAAACTTTTAAGATTCTAACCCATTTTCCCTCCTAGGCTCTGGAAGCCAGCATTCTTTCTTTTCTTGACTATTCTGTGCACCTTTACGAGGAGAAATCACAGTGTTTATATTTCTTTTGTATCTGCTTTATTTGGCTTAGCTAAGTGTTTTCATGGTCAAGATGAGCTTTTAAAAACAGATTGACATTTAAGTTCACATGTTAGAATTGTCTTGTGTCCGAGTTTGTGACCTGGGACATTTATGATTCCTATTTGGTCAGCCCCAGAATAAGGGAGTTGGACATGGGACATTTGGGTGCATGGGTAATACATAGTTTTAAGCTGTTTGGGATGTTTATAGTTTCTTCTAGGACTTCATGCTCTCACCGTCACTGCAGAATACTAGACTGCAGTAGGTATTTAAAGTGTACAAACTAGTCTGTTAATTTGGGCTTTATATAGATTTAAGATTTTTGTTTGTGATTATTTCTTTGGGAAATGCCTTATAATGAGGGATGTATCTCCTTCCTTAATTTGGGGCTTCTTTCATCTCTTTCACGGTGATGAGTACAGCGTTTATTGTCCAGCCTCACCATCATGGAAGGAGTAAGCTCGCTGCTGCAGAGGGAAGCTGGGATGCTGGGAGGTTTACCTAGCTGTTACACTTTGTTATGAGGAGCATTTCCTTGTCATTTCAGTCTTTAGAGTTTATTGCTAGTAAGTTGTCTTATGTAGGTAAGTCTTGTATAAGAGCTGAGTTTATTGTTTGATGACATTTGAAATTCAGACACTTTTACAAAGTTTAGATTGCCTTCTGCAGTTGAGATTCACTTTAAAGATCTTGTGTTTTCTACCATGAGGAACATTGTAGGGAATATGGGTTTTGAGACATTTTTGTCTTTACAGTGGCAAATGGTACCACATTATGCTTTTTTAATTCCCAGGTTTGCTTTTAACAAATTTTGGGAAGGAAATCAAGTGTTAAAAGCAAGACAATTTCTAGAACCCACTAGAATGGTTTTGAGGGCAAGAATGTTTTTGCTCATTTAGAGAACTCTAGATTTTTAACAGTGTTCAGAATTTGGTAGAGGGTCAGTTGGTTTGTTCACTAAATTAACAATTATTTTTTGAAAGCACAATTATTTTTTTGAAAGCCTTCAATGTTCACTATGTTAGAGAAATAATAGATTTTATGTGTTTAAGAATTTTGTTATCTAAGGAGAACAGGAACTATTTCTGACATGAATTCAATGGCTGGCTCTTTGATGACCATTGCTAGGTCACAGAAGAGGGAGGAGCAGCCTTGCTAGGCCACAGAAGAGGACATTGCAGCCAGTCCTGAAGAGACTTGAGGAGGTCCTCCCCTATCAGTGGACTTGGAAAGGGGCAGGGAGGAGATGAGGGAGGGAGAGTGGGGATTGGGAGTGAATGAGGGATGGGGCTATGGCTAGGATACAAAGTAAATAACCTGTGAGTAATATAAAAAATAAAAATTATTATAAAAAATTAAAACAGCATGGAACCAGAAAAAAAGGAATTTTGTTATCCAGAATATTTAATGTACTCTTATCTTTTTTTTTTTTTTAATAGACATAGAGCCAACTTAGAAGAGATTTACATAGTGACCAATTTCTGTGAGACACTAATTCTTTTTAGTTTCTTTGATGATGGGGCTTTACAAGCATGTTATAGGTCTGTAATTTTTGTCATCTTTTAAAGTTTATTTTTACTGTTTTTGTCCTTATTTCTAGGAATAGAACAATCATATTTCTTTTATGCCTGATACCTATATTCTAAAGAAAACATATTGAATTTTATAAGTAAAAATCTTAATTTATTTAATATTGTTAATGCTTCCTTATAAACTGGGTAGAATGAAGCAAAACTTCAGTTTTCATGAACTTATGTTCTCATATAGGAGACACAAGCAAGGTAACATACTGAATAAAAACAGATCCTCTGCGAACAGATTCTTTTAACTTATTTGTGTAGATTAAACTAGAAAAAAGAACTTCCCCAGTACCAGATTATTTTGATAGCGTGGGGGAGTAAGTAATAGGTTCTTACATATAACACTTCATTCTTCCAGTGTCAAAAAGTCTTTGAGTCTAGGCAGAAGAAGGTACGTATGAGCTAAACATGTATGTGGGTTGATTGTTCTGCCATGTTAGAAACACGGAGGCATGGGTTTGCTTGTGTTGGGACTATTGGGGACAGATATTGGGAAAGTTGTTACATCACCTCACTGTAGAGTTCCAGATGGCCTTACAGGTTGTGTAGAAGCTTTTCAGAAGATACATTTCTTGTGAAAAGGAATGGAAAGGTGATACAAAGAGTCCAATTTGGAATATCTGAAATACAGAGTGGGACTAGACACTTGTTTTTGTCCATGGGTATCATTGTTTTTCTAACCCCTCTGAAGGAAACTTTGGGAAACACAAGTCCAGAAAAATACTGTGAATAAATTTGTATGGTGTTGTTTTCTTGTAACAAGCAGAAAGGAGGGCCTGAGATAATGTGTTGAACACCGAAGGCAATAAATGAATGCAAAAGAATTTTGTAATGCACAGCATTGATAATTTATTTGGGAATGGTGTTTTATGGGACAGTAATAGATTGATTCAAGATCAGGGCTGTGTTTTTTCAGTAGATGTTATTTGGGTATTGCTTTGTTTTGTTTTCCTACCCTTTATGGGTCTTCATAAGTTACATCAGCTCTTATTGTCTTGTCTTAAATATTTCTCCAGCTCTGATTTGGGTTTTGCAATTTGTTTTGAATTAGAGATTCAAGTTATTAGAAATACTCCTGTAACAGAGGATGTGTAGACTTTAAAATATAGGCATCTTGACATATGGTGGAGTTAGTAATTTACATTACATACTTACTATTCTATACAAATTACATTGTGGCATACTAACTCTATTCATAATATTTATTGTGGGCATTGAACCAAGGCAGGGCGGTATGTGCATAGACAAGTGCTCTCCCATTGGACCATGCCCCATCTCCACACTATACAATTATAGTATATTTAGCCCTGTGAATTGAGTTAAAAGATATTATGTCCCCTTTTCCCCTCAGTCTCAATCCTTCCCTCTTTCTGCCTCTCCATTCCCCTTCCCTCTCTCTCATGGTGTTGAGGACCAAACACAGGGCCTTGTCCTTGTTAGACAGATAGTCTACCATTAAACTAAATTTCCAACCTCCAGAGATTTTCTCCAGAGATTTTATTACAGAAAATTTCTCAAACTTACCTCAAAATAAAAAGAATAGTATTATGAACTGCAATATACCTGTAAACATTTGGTGGTCTTGTTTTATTTATATTCTTTGTGTGTGTGTTTCCTGGACTTTTAAAGCAGTTGCCAGGAAGATGCATCCTTCCATCACAAATATTTAGACATCTAGTAACTAAAGACTCAATTATATTTTTCTTGCACAGAAATGTTGTTTCTTGTGCTTTCTGTTTTTTTAATTTGCTTGTTTTTATTCAGTTTTTTCTTTTTTTATAATTTTTATTTTTTATATTAATTACAGGTTATTTACTTTGTATCCTAGCTGTAGCCCCCTCCCTCATTCTAAAGAGAGAGAAAGAATGTCTGGGGTTGGATGGGTGGTGAGGTAGAGCGGATCTGGGAGGAGATGGGGAGAAAGAAGCCATGATCAGGAGTGTGTATGAAAAATTATTTTAAATAAAAAAATGTTTATATCCATTTAGCATCTCATAGGGAGTACAGTTTGGGTTCAGATAATCTGTTTGTTTCATAAGAAGCCCTCTTTCCCTCTTAAACTAGATTGCTTGAATCAGGTTCTAAACAAGGCTTAGTTATTTTTAAAAGACAGTCCCAGCAGTGTTGAAGTGTTTTTGTATATACTATTCTAGGAGAGGGCTACTGTTTTGACAGTCCTGCTGTCTGGAACTTGGTTTTACTGTTGTGTAAAACAACATATTAAAATAGCTAGTTTCTGTATTTTATGATCTTTAAACATAGAACAGCTTCCCAAAAGGGGAAGAGTGGGTGTGTGTATCCCACTCACCTAGAAGGCTAGAGTAAGTGGAAGTGTGAATTGGCTTGACAAGGCTGATTTAGGAGGCTGTTCCTCTAGCACTCTGCGCAGGACCTCGTTGTTTGCATGGTGCTAGACTGTGTGTTTCTCTCTTTGAACATAGACTTCTCCTTTATATATAGGGAACAAGTGATTTTGACATTTTACAGTGCCTAGCTGTGGTGTGTTTATTTTACATTTATCTTTGATTTTAACAGGATTCTCAAAGTTGGATTGGTGGAAACAATGAACCATTGACTGGCTTTACATGGCGAGGTGGTTGTGAAAGAGAAACAACAGGCATACAAGTTTGGAATGAAGTATTTGTGATTGACAGACCTGATGGAACAAAAGTAAAATTCTACTTAAACTTTGCTATTTTCTCCTGTATTTTTTTCTTGAGCATTTTTCTGGTACTAAAATTAAAAACAACACAAAACTATTATTGTCAGGTAACTTTAATGATTAGTATGTTAAGATGTATAGTATTATAAATACTTTTCTTGATTTAATTACTGCTTTAAATGTTATCATTTAGTGTATGATTTTTGTAGGCATTTGTGGGGATTCCTTTACTAAGAATTTTAAACTTACAAATTCCTAGGTGGCTGTGCTGCTAATGGATACCCAGGGTGCCTTTGATAGCCAGTCAACCATTAAAGACTGTGCGACAGTGTTTGCTCTGAGCACTATGACTAGCTCTGTCCAGGTGAGTGTTGTGATCAGTTCATACAATAATCCTACCTTTGTGCAACCTCTACAAAATGGTTTTGATTAAAGAAAAGGTAGGCAAGAAAAATTATATACTTTGAATAGATATTAAGGATGAAGGTAAGCATGTTTGCTTTATTTTTTCTATCATAGAATTAATTTTTTATTAATTCTTTGGTGACTTCATTCAGTCTATTTTGATCATATTTACGCCCTTTCCCCAGCTCTTTCCAGATCCACTCCCTTTCCTACCTACCCAAATTTATATCCTCATTTCTTCTTTTTCTATTATAATTTTTTCATACAATATGTTTTGATGTTTCCTTCCTATCCCATCTTTTTCTAGATTCTCCCCACCTTCCTACCCACTGTGTCTTTATTTTAAAAATACCAACAAACCATTAAGTCCAATTTGTGTTACTAACATGTCTATGGTATACATACATTCAGGCAAACATTCATACACATAAAATAAATATTAACAAATCTTTAGAGGAAAAGTTATTAGATAGCATCTGTAATTAAAATCAATCGTGTGACTACTTAAGCGAAAAAGAAAAACAAAAACACCAGATAATTAAATAGCAACCTGGTTTTCTATTTGGTTTCTCTGACAAATAAAAATAAAAATTTAAGAGTTAATATTTGTTTGTTTTCTAGGTAAGTTTCTCTTGTAGCTTTAGTTATTCTGAAACTTGCTCTATAGACCAGGCTGGTCTTGAACTCGCAGAGATCTGCCTGCTTCTACCTCCCAAGTCCTGGGGTTAAAGGCGTGTGCCATCACCTCCTGTCAGTAATTAATATTTAATTTAGAAAAGCAAAGTGATAGAAATTTATAGCACTGATTTGGTTTAGAAAGGGGTAATGTTTCACTTGTGTCACTCACACTCTAACTGTAGTTGTCCTTTCAAGTTTTCCTTTCTTCAAAATAGAGTATCTCTATATAATCTAGGGTGAGTGCGTTCAGTCAACATACACCATTTTGCATTCCTTTTCTTTTTTGGGATCATTTGTGTTGATATCTCCCTGGCTCAAAAATTAATGATTGTAGTATGGTCTCCTGCATCTTGCTGGTGATAGTATATGAGGAAGGATATTTGAATATTCTCCTACAATAAGAAATTGTCCTTGTCAGTGGTAGTTCATAGGCAGTACTGTCACAACATCTTTAAACTTTTGTGATTTTCTGATAATGTCTGAAACATTAAGCAGTCTCATTTAATTCCCTTTCCCCTTCCTCCATAACTTGAAGTACCTGAGTGGGAAGAGAGTTCTTTCAGCCTAATCTCTGTTATAGGTCAAAGATATCTGTCACTACTCACCTAGAGATGCTCTTTAGGACCCTCAGAAGTTTTTTCATGTTTGTTCTGTCTTTTTTTTTTTTTTCCCCTCTGTAAAATAGCATGACTATAGGTCCTAAGAGGCAGCAGAAGCCACTGTTTTCTAGTTCTGTTTTACATTTTAGCTCTTCAGGTGAGCTGATGCTAGGATTTGCCTCTTGAATTATAGTGAAGGAGCTCTCTATCCTGAACTTTGTTTGTTACTATTCTTTTGTTTATAGAACTTTTTGATGGTAGGAGATTTGGTTTTGGACAACTACACCGCTCAGACACTTCTTATTTATAAAAGGAGGATCTTGATATGTACTTGTTGTATATAAGAGATGAGCTCTAAATGAAATAATACATATAATAATAAAATGTATATTAGTGTATATATTTTATATATGCTTCTTTTGTGAGAGGGGATGTTAATGTGGATTGATTTACAGTGTTAATGTATGCCACTGAGCTACAGTCCCAGCCCTTAGTATTACTTTCCACAGGCCTTTGAAGGCTGTTTTCTTCCTTGAATAAGTTGTGGCTTCCAGGCACGGTGGTGTACTTCTGTGACCTCAGCACTTGGGGAGCTGAGTTAGGAGGATGAGCTACATAACAAGAGCTAGTTAGAGGCCATATTAAACTACATAGCAAGAGATGAAAACTTTTTTTTTCTTTGGGCTAGTAGACAGATGACACATTGATTTTGTTTACTTTTTCAACAGATTCTTAGGTCTTAGTGAGTACAAGGTAGTATACTGAGACCCAATGATCTAAGACAACAGGTGCCTATCTCTCTTTGCTTGTAGAGTCTGTCTACTCCTTACAGAAAAGGATCTACACCTGTGTCCTAAAATTTTAAATCCACATAGATAAGAATATGTTGGTTATGCTGTTAGCTTTTTCTTTTTTAGGTACCTTGTTTGGGATTAACTGGTGACTAAGCATACCCTTTTGGTGTTTATACTCTAGACCTCTCAAGTTTCTCTAGATTATCACCTATTTGTTGTTAGAACACATTGTTCTATCTTTGGAGCAGCTGCATTTACTGAGATGCTGAGATCCTTCTTAGAGGTTGTGTCTGTAGGTGTCACTGTAGTACCTTCTTTTCTAAATCTGTCCTAAAAAGACTGAACTTGACACTGAGAACAGAGAACAATCATTATCCGTTCTTCTATGTGTCTTGGAAAGCCTCCAAAAAATTCTAAAAAGGGCACTAGTGCCACCTACTGCTGTTTTTACTAGTTTCCACAGCCTGCTAAAAATTTCATGTTGCTTAGGCTCATCAATCCACATAAAAAGGGACCATGCCATGTGTGAGGATACTTGCCAGCAATTGCAGCACTCTGAAATTTTAGCTTATGTGAGGCAGAGGCAGGAAAGTTGTAAAAGTTTGAGGCCAGTCTAGGCTAAGTAGGGAAATCCTTTTTTAAAAATCCAAAACAAAGCCTAACAACCAAAAACCCAGAACCTACTTAACGAATATATATTCCATACCAAGAAGAAACATACATTTCTTAAAATTGTTCCTCATATTCACCAACTTAGCAAGTAAAACAACCTTTACCTTTTCCTGCAGGGCCTGGACCTCACTGTGTAGTCCATAATGGCCTTTGACTCCATCCATTCTTCTGCTCCCACCCCCTAATGTTGGGATTTCAGGAGTGCATCATCACACCTAGCTTCAGCTTGTCTTTTATTTTTAAAGTGCCCGTGACATAACATTAAAGAGACTGAGAAAGAGGAAAAGATGTTACATAATACACTCAGGGCATGCCTATGTGTGCATTTATGAATTTTACGGCTTCTTTTAATAAGAACGCTTTCCATATACCACTGGTTAAAGTAGAAGCTAAGTGATTAATTTGTAATGAGGTCTAAAATAACCTTTCTTACTTTAAGGGGATTTATACTCATTAAAACACTAATAAAAACAATAAATTTTGTTTTAACAGGTATATAATTTGTCTCAGAATATTCAAGAAGATGATCTTCAACACTTACAAGTATGTCTTAGAAAATATGTCAAAGTATTCTTTGTAAATTTATGTTTAGAAACCTATAATATTTTTGAATTTTTATGGCCTTAAAGAAATGGTTGATTGTTTAACTAGAGGGCATTTCTGATATACTTGATTCATTAGCCAGTGTGATGCCTGACTTTGAGATAAGAAAAAGACTTGACATTTGCTACTTTGATACAGAAAGTTTTATGAATGACTTCTTGCAGTCTCCTTGGCAGCATTATTTTAAATAACTTGGTTTAATAGTTATTTACAGAGTATGGAAGACTTGCAATGGAAGAGATCTACCAGAAGCCATTTCAAGTAAGTGTTTTCACACTTTAAAAATGTCTCTGTGTGAAGCTTCAAGCCCAAGGACACGACAAACTCCCTTAGTACCAGAGCCAAAACAAACTATTGGCATATCATCAGCTTTTTTTTTTTTTTTTTTTTTTTGTGTAATGTATTGCAAGTTGAAGTCTCCCTCTGTTACTCTTTATTTCATGGAGACAAGTTAAGGTGCTTTATTTTTTGAAGTGACTAGTTTGCAAGCTACTATTTATACTGTTGGTTACAGTGAGTAGGAGAGTGATTATTGTGTTTGCCTGTTGGTGTATAGTGTTTTCCTGTGTGATGGCTTTTCTATCAATTATAATATTACTGGCCTTACACAAATTTTGCCTCACTTTTACCTGGCACTTCTGTTTTAGGCAAACATTTTTATGAAACAGTTGGGCAGATAATGGCTTCCTCATGTATATATATGGGTGAAACATACTATATTTGGCTTATATCAGCCCTTCTAATCTAGAATTCACCTAGGAGACATTTGTTAATGTCTGGGATATTTTTGATTGTCACAGTTTTGAAGGATGTTTAATGCTACTGGCAGGTAAAGTAGAGATCAGAAACACTTCACTGTAATGCAAGGGCAGCCATGAACAAGTAATTATCTCATTCAAAATGTCAGTAGTGCTGAGAAATTAAACATTGTATGGATAAAACATTTGTGAAAAATGTCTCTTTAATACCAAACTTATAATCAGTGTAGAATTAGCCGTCTAAAAGTGTAGTTGTTATAGTTGTATAGATTAACAAAATTGTGCTCTAAAAACCCCAATATACTTTTGTTCATTTTTGGCTTTGGGTGTTGTTCCACAGATGGCTCCTTGTGTGTTCTCAAGTGGAGCTGATTAGTTGGTGCAAGGGCTGGGAACTTGCCTTAGGTGGGCCGTTGATGAGAACCATAAGGATTTGGTTACTATAACCATTTTTATTTCTGGGGATTGGACCTCAAGAATGCAGTCGTGCATTCTACCCACTGAGCTGCTCGTTATAGCCTTGATTAAGGTTATTTATGGAAAGAAGTTTTCAGGGTCCTTAGTATTCTGTAAGAAGTGATTCGTATTTTTCTCTGTATGTAGATGTTAATGTTTTTGATTCGAGATTGGAGTTATCCTTATGAACATTCGTATGGTTTGGAAGGTGGAAAACAGTTCCTTGAAAAGAGACTGCAGGTAAGCCCCATACAGGGAGAGAAAAACATATGCCTCAGGCCAGGCAAAGGGGTGGGCTTCCTGGACTACCCTGACGTTACTGTTTACTCTCAGGAAGAAATGAATTGTCCCCGTGTAGTCAAATGATGTGTAGGTGATGAACTCTTACCAAAGAAGATAGTATAAAATAAAAAATAAGAAACAGTTACTCCTCTGTTGAGGGAACTACCCACCAGTAAATATTCAAAGACTGGTGTTTTTGAAAGTGACTATTATTGTTGTTGTTGTTATTGTGTGTGCCTATGGTGTGTATCTGGGTATATACATGTCACGGTGTATGTGTGAAGATCAGAAGACAACTTTGTTATAGATGATTCTCTCCTTTTCCCTTTACATGTGTTCTTGATATCATACTGAGGTCATCAGGCTTCTGTGACAGCCACTTTATATGCTGAGCCATCTAGGCTTTTTAAAAAGACCCAGATATCCTTATTCCTGTGTAATATGTTTCACAGAGCATTCCTGGAAAATGACCTCATGAACGAGGTCATGATCTATATCCCTGAGTATTTCCTGGGGGAATACTCTGGTGTTTCCAGAACACATCTCCACCTCCAGAAGACAGTGGAAAGAGATCCTTGTGTTATGTGCTGGCTCACAAGAGTTTGTCTGTTTGTAGTATAAAACATTTCATTTCCAAACCATACTCAGACAGTTGGGGCACAGTATGATTTTCTTATTCTTTTTTTTTATTTTAAAGATTGATTTATTTATTATTTATACATTATTCTGCCTCCACACCAGAAGAGGGCACCAGATCTCAGTATAGATGGTTGTGAGCCACCATGTGGTTGCTGGGAACTGAACTCAGGACCTTGGGAAGAACAGCCAGTGTTCTTAACCTCTGAGCCATCGCTCCAGCCCCAATTTTCTTATTCTTAAAATCAGATTAATTCAATAGACTATTTGAAGGCATTTTCAGACCTTTGAGGAAATTTATCAGTTCTGTTTTTTTTCCTGGTTATTTAGAAGAAATCAACATATAACATATTAATCATGCTAACTAAACTCTGAATTATGTGCTTCAAAGAAAAGGTCTTAAAGTTATTACAGTGATACATCCAATCACAAAATTATTCACATTTAAAGTGCAGCTTGATGAGTTTCTAAACGGATCATAGCTGTATAACTTGTACCCAGAATCACCTAATTCCATGTGCTTACCTCACTGTCATTTGTAACAGATTTTGCTTTTGTACTTCATACAAAATACACATAAAACAAGGATCTCAGAGATCCGTCTGCCTCTGCCTCCTTAGTGCTGGGATTAAAGGTTTGCATTACCATGCCTGGCTCAGAATATATTCTTTTGTGTCTTATTTGTTCAGTCTTTTGTTCCTGAGATTAAACTATATTGTTGCATATAGTTTATTAGTTCTCTCTTACTACTGTACAATATTATGCTACTAAACAGCTGCCTTTCATTCTGTTGATGAATACTTAGGTAGTTTGCAGGTTTTATGACCAGTGCATGTTTTGTCAGAATGGGCTTTTGGAAGAATATTTGGAAGAATGCATGAAAAAATTAATACTTAGACATGCAGATATGGAGTATTGGCATTGGCATATACCGTTAATCCCATCACTGAGGAGGCAGAGGCAGGTGGATTACTTATGAGTTTGAGGCTAGTCTGATCTACATAGAAGGTTCCAGGCCAGTCAGGGTTACATAGTAAGAGCCTGTCTTAATAACACCTCCAAATCTAGACATGCTAGTAATTATTTACCTACCTACCTATTTATTTGTTTGCTTGTTTATTTATTTTTCAAGACTTTTCTTTCATGGGCTGGTGAGATGTTTTAGCAGGTAAAGACACTTGCTTCTAAGCCCAATGGCCTTAGTTTCATCTCCCAGGACTCATATAATGGAGGGAGAGAACAATTCTTGAAGGTTGATCCAAGTATGTGCCATAACACACATGTGCCCTCCCTATGCCTATATGTATGTGCACACATACAAAAGAAAGATAAATAAAATGTAATAAAAGTGTTTTTAAAAGAATGTTCTTAAAGAAGGCACGTAGCAGTCTCTTCCTAAAGATCCGATGCTTGGCATAAATAATAATAATTGAGATTACTGAAAATTTTACTCTGTTTGGTCTGGACAGGAACTCCTAAAAAAATGTATATGTTTGTGTGTCTGTGAGTGCAGGGCACTTAGAGGCCAGAAGTGTGGGATGTCCTGGAGTTGAACTTACAGGCAGTCTTCTGGAATCACACTGGTTCTCTCCCAGAGCAGAGCCGCCACTCTAGCCCCACACTGGAGCTCTGATGGTTTTTTACTTTGCTCCGAGGCTATCTTAATCTCTTAATCTCAGGCAGATTAATGTTCTGCTTTTTTTTTTTTTTTTTTTGGCTTCATATTTTGGCATAAGTGCCTTCAAGGCAGATTCTTTATTAGTTTCTAAGTTATGATCACAACTTGTTATTCAAGTATTAGGTGTTGTGATTAGTTATTTGTATGTTTTGGAATTTCAGACAGCTTTCTCTATAGAAAGAAAATGCTCTTCAAGTTGATAAATGCGACTAGAAATAAATTTGTAATAGTAGCAAACAAAACTTCCTTCCAGTGTGGTGTAGTCTGAGTTTAGTGTGCATGTATGTAGATATGGATGTGTGTTCTTTTTAAAATTAAAAAAAAATTGCAACTCTATTTCTTCTTTCAGGTAAAACAAAATCAGCACGAAGAACTACAGAATGTCAGGAAGCACATCCACAATTGTTTCTCAAATCTTGGTTGCTTTCTTCTACCACATCCTGGTCTTAAAGTTGCCACAAACCCTAGTTTTGATGGACGACTGAAAGGTGGGTATTCCCATGCTTGCTAAAACTACTACTAGTTAGCAGTTGAAAGTTTGTATTCTGTTTTCTTTTATTTTTGAGATTATAATCTAATTACAATATTCTCTTTCCTCCTTTCAAGTCCTCCCATATACCCCTCCTAACTCTCTTTCAAGGTCATTTCTTTTTTTTTTTTATTGTTACGTGCATATATGTATGTGTATATATATACCTCTTTCTAAACATAACTGCTCAGTTTGTATATTACTCATGTATATTTTCAGAGCTGACCATTTGGTACTGGACAACCACTTAGTTTGCTCCTCTTTGAGGAAGACTATTTCTCCCATTCTCAGCATTCTGTTTGTATTGATTCTAGCTTGCCTTTGGTTCCTTTGCCCTTCTTTAGCATAATGATTAACCATATCATAATTTGGTCTTGCTGAGGATTCATGTCCTGCAGCTTCTGAGGGCTGAGAGCCTTTCACAACTTCCTCTGATTACAGTCTGCTTAAAAAAAAAAAAAGCCTTACTGTTTTATTGAATTGATGGACTCAGAATTTTCATGTGTGTGTGTGTGTGTTTTGGGATTATTTTAAATGTGATGGCAAAGGGATTGAGATTGATACGATTTATATGATAACTAGAAAAACACTAATACTGAAATTTAATAATAATAACCCTGTATGGTTTGCTGTTTTTGAAAAAGGTATTTTAGTTACTATAGAATTCATTTTGAAAGTTCACCATTTGAGCTGAAAAAAAAAAATTACTGGAGAATAGGAGAAACGGGATAGAAGAGTACTAGAGTTTTTCTTTTTTTTTTCTGTAGGAGACATGTCATATTTAGATGAACTTTTTAGAAAAAAGAATCTACTTAAGTAGTAGATACTGTGTACTCTTCATGAACAAAATTTCTTGAACTTTTGTCAGTGAGGACTTGTTTGTGTTTTTGGTCTAATATGTTGGCTAATTTCATGTCCATCAGATATTGATGACGACTTTAAACGGGAGCTTCGAAATCTGGTTCCATTGCTGCTTGCTCCTGAAAATCTTGTTGAGAAGGAGATAAGTGGATCTAAAGTCACTTGTAGAGATCTTGTAGAATATTTTAAGGTAGGTGAACTCTAAGCTAAATGGCTCTAAAAGAAATGTAGTTAACTTTTAAAACGTCTTTATGGACAAGAGATTTACTTTCTACCAAAATAAATGTATGCTTTTCTGCCTTGAATTCATTATATCAACATTAAGGACTCAGCAGGAGCTGGAGAGATGAGTCAGTTGTTAAAAGTATTTGCACAGTCTTGAGGACCTGAGTTTGCATCCTAGACACCACAGAACAAGCTAGCTGTCTCACATGTTTATGATCTGCTTCTAGAGGGTACAGACAGTAGGACTAGGGCTTGCTGCTTACTAGGTCACTGGGAAAATATGAGACCCAAGTTTAGAGAAAGACTGCAAAGCAAAGGAGCATGAGAGAAGAACACGTGACTAATTCTAGTCTCTGTGTAGTAACATAGGGGTGTTGAATATACCCAGACATGAGTGCACATAAATGCTCACAAGCAGAAGTGCCTGTCTGCACGTTGGATGCACACACACATTAAGGAAACTCTTTTTTTTCCTCTTTTTATTATTATTATTATTATTAATTACACTTTATTCATTTTGTATCCCCCCATAAGCCCCTCCCTCCTCCCCTCCCGATTCCACCCTACCTCCCCTTTCTGCATGCATGCTCCTCCCCACGTCTACTGATAGGGGAGGTCCTCCTCTCCTTCCTTCTGATCTTAAGTCTATCAGATCACATCAGGAATGGCTGCATTGTCTTCTTCTGTGGCCTGGTAAGGCTGCTCCCCCCTCAGGGGGAGGTGATCAAAGAGCAGGCCAATCAGTTTATGTCAGAGGCAGTCCCTCTTCCCATCACTATATAAGCCACTTGGACACTGAACTGCCATGGGCTACATCTGTGCAGGGGTTCTAGGTTATCTCCATGAATAATCCTTGGTTGGAGTATGAGTCTTTGGGAAGTTTCCTGTGTTCAAATTTTCTTGTTCTGTTGCTCTCCTTGTGGAGTTCCTGTCCTCTCCAGCTCTTGCTATTTCCCACTTCTTACATAAAATTCCATTCACTCTGCCCGTCAGTTGGCCATCAGGTTCAGGATCTGTTTTGATAGTCTGCAGGGCAGAGGCTTTCAGATGCCCTCTGTGGCAGGTTCCTAGGTTATTTCCTGTTTTCTTCTTCTGGCTTTCAGAGGTCCTCTGTAGCAGGTTCCTAGGTTGTTACCTGTTTTCTTCTTCTTCTGATGTCCATCCTCTTTTCAGGATGGGGATTGAGCGTTTTAGTTAGGGTCCTCTCTTTTGCTTAGTTTGTTTAGATGTACCGATTTTAGTGGGTTTATCCTATGTTGTATGTTTATATGAGTGAGTATATACCGTGTGTGTCTTTTTGCTTCTGGGACAACTCACTCAAGATGATCCTTTCCAGGTCCCACCATTTACCTGCAAATTTCATGATTTCCTTATTTTTCATTGCTGAGTAATACTCCATTGTATAGATGTACCACAATTTCTGCATCCATTCTTCAGTTGAGGGGCATCTGGGCTGTTTCCAGCTTCTGGCTATTACAAATAAAGCAGCTACAAACATGGTTGAGCAAATGTCCTTTTTGTGTACTTGAGCCTCTTTTGGATATATGCCTAGGAGTGGTATGGCTGGATCTTGAGGAAGCGCTATTCCTAGTTGTCTGAGAAAGCGCCAGATTGATTTCCAATCTTTTAAAAAGGTTATAGCACACTGTGTCTTCTATGCAGTGATACTATTTGTTTTCAGAATATCCTTTTTTTCTGCATCTCTCATGTGGAGAGATGAGCCATTCATCATATTGTAACACAGCCCTGCCAGTGCAAATCATACCTGGAACTGGCTGCGTAATTCTATATCCCAAATTCTCACAAGAGTCTTCCCATAGAGTTCTGAGACTAACAGGAGTAGCTAAAGTTACCTACACTGTAGAAGGGTGGGGAAATACAGCTAGTGAAGTTAATGCATTTTTGCTTAATGGTTAGATCACTTTCATGCAGTTACTGTTTATGAATTAAGTTTGAGTCAGTAGGAAGTTGAGGTGAAGACTCCTCTTCAAATGCCATAAACTGGTCCTCCATCCTTTTATTGTATGAGAATTTTGTATTTGTCTATAATGAGTGTTGATTAAATCCGAGCTATATTCCCTGGCTACAGCTCATTCTCTAGCCCCTCACCACTCTCCCCTTGAACCATCATGCACTTTTTTTTTTTAAACCCAGTGTTAACAGCATGCCTAGTGCTTTGTATTTAATTAATTGCTTGCTCCCTGAGATTCTTACTGATAAAAGCAAACCCTCATGTGTACCAAAGATGATACTGTGTAACTTTGCCTCCCAATTATCTCTGATTGGCTAAATAAATGTCTATACCTGGGCAGGGCAGATGTGAGGTAGCAAAGCGGCCTAGATGAGAAATATGTGCAAATATTTATGGGCTATTGGATGGGAAGTAGCCCGGGAATTGTTAGAGCAGTTGGCATGGGATGTGGGGCTGGGAGGTAAAGATAGCTTAGGGGTTAGTTTCTGCCCAGCCCCAGAGTTTAAGGCATATTAAAATGTAACAGGTATCTGTGTCTCTATTGATACGGTAGCAGGTTAAGTAATTAACCACAATTATCTATGGATTAATAATAAACATTAATAACCCATTTTATATATAACAACCCAGTCTTATGCTTTGACTACAGATTAGGATTTCTTTTTCTCTTGAGTTCAAATATTTAAAGTAAAATGATAGCTTAAGCCTTTTTAAAAAATATCTATTTGAAGTATTGAAGGTGGGAAAGAATTAAAGATTTCTTTTTATAAAATAGATGGCATTTTATGTACAAAACTTTTAAATGTGACGGAAAACTTTTATACGAGTTGGAATTATATTTAGAATGATTTCTTTAGAGTATTTTATTTGGCAGCATGTCTGTATGATAACATTCAGGACAGGGGTGACCTTGTTGTAATAGGATGTATGAGTTTTAAGGCCTAGAACTTCATTTTCGTGGTGTGAACTCTTAAGTTTAATGATATTTCTTTGGGGACATAGTATCAAATTGCATTGTACAACAATAAGTGAATCTTTTGTCTTTTTAGGCATACATTAAAATATATCAAGGAGAGGAACTGCCACATCCAAAATCCATGCTTCAGGTAAGAATAAGAACATACGTGTGCATTGGGGTATGTATGTGTGTGTGATGTGGTTGTAAGTGTTTGAGGGAGAATTAAAATCGTGGCTCTAGAGGGATATAGAAAATAGAGACATGTGCTCTATTGCATACAAAAATTATATATGCTTAAGATAACATGAATTCTAAAGTTTGTATTTAATTTTTTTTATATATATAACTACAAATAACAGACCCTGAGCATGTATTGACTGCTAGAAATATCAGCCTTGGTACTTCATCTTCAAATCCTAAAAGTATACAAGAATGTTTTTGCATAGGATGGCATATTATAGGCCCCTCTGAACCAAAATGCTTTTGTCCCGAGTCTTTGATAAAGGGCTTTTGCTTGAACTACGGATTAGTTTCATTTGCTAGTAACAAAGTGCTTCTAGTGCGGGTAAACTTTCTCTGTGTGTGTTTCTGCTTTTTGGGTACTGTTATTTGTATGCATTTTCTAGATTTCAAAGTTTACCACTTCGGGCAATTCCTCAGTTTAATACAGTATCTGTATTAAAGCTAATGCAACAAAGTTTTATGTATTTGGAAATGACTAGTGTGAATCTAGTTGTTCATACAAGGAATTCTTGATTCTCAAGAACTTAGCACATTTTGAGTTATACATTATCTGTTTATCTCTGTTTCCTGAGCACATGTGATATATTGTCTACAATCTGTTTTAACACAAATTGCAACCAGACAGGGAGTCCTGTTAAGCCTGTGTTATATCCTTTATACTCATATGCCCTTCCAAAGGAAAGTAAAACTAGAGGCTGATATTTTTTCTGTTCATTCCAGTATTATTTGTTTTATATAACCTATTGTGTTAATAGGAATTTACAATCATAGGGTACTTTTTTTACAGTGATGCTATATTGAATTTTATGTTTTAGGCAACAGCTGAGGCTAATAACCTTGCTGCAGTAGCGGGAGCAAGAGACATCTATTGTAAAAGTATGGAGCAGGTTTGTAACTCATGTTTAAGCTTTAGCTAAATAAGAGTAGGGGGTGTTTTATATTTAAAGTAAATAAACTAATTTGCACTCCTTACATATTGTCCTGCTATATTATTCTGCAATTGTCTTTTTATGGTCTCTGCTGGAATAAACTGTTAGAAAGTGAGTCACGTGGCTAGCATGCAGGCTACATGAACTCTGCTGTTGTTTTTTTCTCTTAATTCAGAATTAGCAGCCTGAGATGGAAGTAACATTACCTTGAAACCAATAGCAATTTCTGCACTAAGCTTGCTCATCTTTGAAACACTGTGTTATGTGTTCTTTAATTGATTCTCTTGCTAGTAATCTGTTGTGCTGCTTTGGTTTACTAGTGGATAAAGAGAACTCAGAGAGAGAGAGGGCAGTGTAAATACTGTGTCTTCTGTTTTGGTGTTTTAGTCACATTTGGAAAATTATTTGCTTGAGCCAATGTCTTAGTTTAGATTTCTGTTGATGCAACACAGCACCATGACCAAAAGCAACTGGGGAGGAAAGGGTTCATTCAGCTTACACTCCATATTGTTGTTCATCATTGAAGAAAGTCAGTACAGGAATTCAAACAGGGCAGAACCTGCAGGCAGGAGCTGATGCAGAGGCCATGCAGGGGTGCTGCTCACTGGCTTGCTCTCCTTGGCTTGCTCAGCCTGCTTTCTTATAGAACCCAGGACCAGCAGCCCAGGGATGGCCCCACCTGCAGTGGGATGGACCCTCTCCATCAATCACTGATTAAGAAAATGGCCTTTTGGCCTGATTTAATTAAGGGGCATCTTCTTAATTGAGATTTGCTCCTTTCTGATAACGCTAGTGTTTGTGTCAAGTTGACATAAGACTAGCCAGCATAGACAGTTAACATAGGATATGATTACTTACGCATTATTATGCTCAAGTTGAGAATAGCTATGTAAGTGTTTTAAGAGACTAAAATCTATGAGCAGGAAATGCTTTCCAATTCTTACTTCTAGCATGTGATCTCTCTCATTATAATTTGGCTTGTACAGGTATGTGGTGGTGATAAGCCTTACATTGCACCTTCAGATTTGGAGCGAAAACACTTGGATCTCAAGGAAGTGGCGCTTAAACAGTTTCGTTCTGTGAAAAAAATGGGTGGAGATGAATTCTGCCGTCGGTATCAGGACCAGCTTGAAGCTGAAATTGAAGAAACCTATGCAAATTTTATAAAGCACAATGATGGCAAAAATATCTTCTATGCTGCTCGTACCCCTGCCACACTGTTCGCAGTCATGTTTGCTATGTATATAATCTCAGGACTGACTGGCTTCATTGGCCTAAACTCTATAGCCGTCTTATGCAACCTTGTCATGGGGCTAGCACTGACGTCCCTTTGTACGTGGGCATATGTTAAGTACTCTGGGGAGTTCAGAGAAATTGGAACAATGATTGATCAGATTGCTGAAACACTATGGGAACAGGTTGGTATCTGTCTTTTGGCTTTGCAGTGACTGATCTCACTTCTGTGTGATTTCCAGCTTCTCCTTCGTGCCTTATCTGTATACCTGCTGTTTCCTCTACATGAGGAGGGACAAGAGGATAAGAGTTTGGTGAGGTTTTTGGAGGGAGTGGTGGTAATAGTGTTGTTTAGATTTTGATTTAAAGTAGAGTCTAATTCAGTTATTATTCATCATTATAAGTTTACTTTGATTAGCTTTAGTCTGTAATATCTTTGGTTGATTATTAGTTATAAGCCTGATGATTATGCCAGACAGTGGACAGGGCTACATTTACTAATAATGTTTTTTTTGACCAAAGAAAATATTTTCAATGAGTAACTTTAAAGGTAAGAAAAAAAGTTTGGAAGTGCAGTCAGTGCTTTGGTGAGGAAAATGAATATTTTTCCTAACCAATATTAACAAGAAGCAATGTAGGAGAACTATGTTGGTCTTCTGTGAAGATGGTGGCAGTTGTTTGTAGCACTCTAAGGAGTAACCTCACAGAGACTTCTTTCCAAAGAAACGTTGACATATATTCCATGGGAATACAGTGGAGAGACCAGAACAGCACAGACAGAAAACAGCATCAACTTTAACCTTTACCTTAGCCAGAGTCCAGCCAGGCTGAAGTCTCTTGCCTAGCAAGTATCTGTTAAGGAAAGCTGTTGTATATATTTCCACCCTGATCATTTGAGCATAGATAATTTCTCTTGTGGTTGTTGTTAAAATGAATGATTCTCATCAGGTACCCAAACATCATCTCATCGTGTGGAGGAGCAGAGTGAAAGCTGTAGTTATTACTGGCACATAGTATTACAGGTGTTTTCCGTGCCATTTCTGGATCAGTGAGGGTCTGGGCTTGTTAGAGATTAGGATGTGTAGGTTCATGTTTGTTTTGCCTTTCAGCTCAAAGACTGAAGGATTCAACCATTTTTTTTTTCCTGGAGAAAAGTGATAACACGATTATGACTATATAAACCAGTGGTTCTCAACCTTCCTAATGATGTTACTGTTTGCTACAGTTCCTCATATTGTGGTGACCCCTCAACTGTAAAATTATTTCTGTTGCTACTTCATAACTATACTTTTACTACTGTTATGAATCATAATGTAAAACTTCGGGAGATAGAGGGTTGCCAGAGGGTTCGCGACTGCAGTTGAAACACTGGTATAAACTAATCCACTCTATTAATTTGACTTTTTTCTCTTTTAAAAATACTCTTTTTTTTTTTTTTTTTTTTGAGACCAGGTTTTTTTCATGTAGCCTTGCGTGTCCTGGATTGGCTTTGTAGACCAGGCTGCACTTGAACTCACAGAGTTCCGCCTGCCTCTGCCTCCCTGAGTGCTGGGATTACAGGCTTGTGCCACTACCCTTGAGTATTAAGATCTCTTTTGGACTTTGTGTTTGGACATTTTAAGTTCAAATTTTTATCTATTAAAATCAGTCTTACTGCGTTCTTGTCTTTTGATAGTTTCTAATAGAAGATGGATTAAGAATTATCACCTCATCACTGCTTTAAAAATAATCTGCATTTTTGAACCAATGCTATTTTTCTCTCCTCTGGCTCTTAATAATAAACAGTGTCTTTTGAAATGCTTTTTGTTAGCGTTGACTGTAGAACTTTCGAGGTGCCATTATTATAGAGCAGTTTCATGGGAGAGTCTCAGTTGTGTATTTATTTTCAGTGTAAGATAGTGAGTTGGGAGCCTCAAGTCATGATCCCAAGTCAGAGAAGACTTGTGCTGTGTTCAACAAGCTTTGTCTAAAATTTCTTTGCATTTCTCTTTTCCTTTGCTTCAGAGGAGTCCCAGGAAGGTGAGAAACCTACAAACTCTAAAATTCTTCTAGTCTTGAACTCAAGCTTCCAGGCACTCTGAGTCACTTTCCTAACACATCACTCCATGTTTTAGGTGTTTTCCAAACTGTTTGAAGTTACTAGACGTCGAATGGTTCATCGTGCCCTTTCATCAGCACAGCGACAGAGGCTGTCATCCAACAACAAGAAGAAAAATTAGACAGTATTTTTAACTTTTTCTCTATCTGAAGTGTTCACACTTATACATGTAGGACAATAAGCAGGACCGTCTGGGCCGGTCTGCATAAATGCGTATACATACCAGATTTGATGCTGCATATAGGGTATGGATTGCACATCCATCTCATAGGATTTGTAAATGGTTTGAATGAGAGGAAAGTAATTTTTGTTGCATTATAAAATGTCTAATTGCATTGTTGTTAATATCATAACTTTTTTTTTCCTTTTTGGGAGAAGCATTCTTTTATTTCTCACATTCCTGATTATTTTTGTCATTTATTTGAATTGAATTTTTTATATCTGTTATATGTACTCTTTTTTTACCTCATGTTTTTGTTTGTTTTGCACATTTCTCATACCACAGGTATTGAAGCCCCTGGGTGATAATTTGATGGAGGAAAACATAAGGCAGTCTGTAACAAACTCTATCAAAGCAGGCCTGACTGACCAGGTGTCTCATCATGCCCGATTAAAGACAGACTGACAGTTCATCTCCTCATGGACTCCACTCTCCCTTTTTTTTCATGCTTGCTGTACAATGAGAACTCAAATAAAAATAAACCAAAGTTTACAATCAACTGTAGAAGTAGTTTAGTATAACTGGCTTCACAGATGGCTGCCACAGAGTGTGAACCTTGTTTGTTGGTTTTCAGCCTTCTTTTGATGTCTCCTTAGACCCGGAGATTGGCTGAGGAGCATTAGTTTATCATGCACATTTGTGCCATGTTTAATTCTTCTCTTTCTTTTTACTGAATTTAATGTTAGTGAAATTTGTCTTATGTAAAAGGATATTTCAGGGAAATATTTTAAGAAATCTATTTAGAGTCTCTTTAATATAGTGTCCCATTGAAGTTTTAATTTTTAGAGAATTTATGAATCACTGTATCAAGAATCAGATCAGATTGACAATGAAGCCTTTATTGAGCCACTACATTAAAAGTGTATATTGCTTTACTGCCTTCAATGCCAGTATTACATAAATGCATGTATCAGAAACTTCACAGAAATCACATGACAACTCTTGTAGCTAAGAAGGTAACTCTGAGGTGTACATTTGTCTTGCCTTTTTAAACTTGTAAACCTGCCCTGAAAGGAGATGCATTATCTGGGAAACTGAACTGTCTTCTTACAGTTTAGCCTTCATGTACATAAAATATGCCATTAATTTTATTGGGGGAGAAATTCCATCCAAAATGTTGCCTACAGCTATGAGTTAAGAGTGTCTGTACAGTGTGTAGCTTTTATTTTCTAAAAATCACAGGTAGGGCATGTATATGAATTATAAATATATAAATACAATTTTGTATTAAAAGTTTTGTAGTTTATGGCAAAATCTGGTTCTGTGGTAGGCTAATAAGTACAGTCCCCGTGAAAGGAATGTTTGTGGCTCATGTCAGTGTGTGAATGCATAGACAATTTGAAGTTTTGATATATTTGTGATATTTATCTTCCTTGAGCACTGCAGTCTCACCCCCCAAGAGAATTCAATGGGAATGTTTTATTGTGACTTGTCCTCTGTTGCATTTTAAAGTTATTTCCTGTAATTTATTTTCAGTACATAATTAAAAATTTGTTGTATATATAAAATGAAACTTGTGATTCTTTTTTAAGGAATTCTTCAAGTCTGTATCTCACCATATAACTTGTATTTGTTCATGCTGAAAGGAGTGTGGGGAAGGATACACCTAGGTTAGAGCTCAAGGTGGTGTACCTCAAAGCTATGCTCATGAAAAGTTATTTTTCTGTGTCTGAATATGTAAAGAATATTTTTTGTGATCGCCTATTTGGGAATTTATTTTCTTCCCCTTCTCTCCAGTCTCTTACCCCACCCCCATCTTGTGAGCGAGAGAATGTCTGTGTGTGTGTGTGTGTTACATGTAGAGCTACTTTTTTCAGTACTTTTTTATAACCTCCTTTACTGAGACCTGTTAAAGCACTCCTATTTGGTTTTTAAGTAAAGAGAATTCAAATGTTGAGTTGCATGCATGGAAGGTCTGAATTTGCCTTGGTTGGTACATCTTAACTCCCACTCCTATTCCAATCCTGCTTTTATATGGATTGTGTTTGTTTCCATTTGTAGTAAACTGCTGCTGTTCTTACACAAAAAGAATCCATCTAAAAATTCTTTTATTTCTCTGACCACTTTGTTTTATGAATGCTGTAAACTGTTTTTATGAATGAAAAATAAAAAGTTTGTTGTATACTAACAACTGTTCTGAAATTAAGAATTTACAGATTTACACTCCCCCACTTCCCCCCTTCAAAGTAAAGTCTAGACTTTTGGACTCCATAGTAGTTCTTGCTAAAAACACTATTTTCCCCTCAAGAATTCTCTTCAGGACTCCAAGAAAGCACCTTACTTTCCTCTGGAAGGCTCTGGACATTGTGAAAACAAAAACCAACAAAATGGATTAAAGATAAAACATTGAAATAACAACTTTGGTATTGGTGTATTTTCTGCGGTACAATTTCTTCTTTTCTTTTCTTTTTGAAGCATTAAGGGTAGAGTTTGGATCCCAGAACCTACCTAAAACTGGGGTCCTAGGGCTCCTATGACAAGAAGGGGGTGGGAGTGGGGGTGGCACGGAGACAGGAGAATGTCCGGAAGTTCAGGCCAGATAGCCTGGTATCTGCAATAAAGACACTCCCTCATGGTGCAGGCAAGAACGAGTCCGTACCTGAAGTTGTCACCTGACTGCCACACACAAAAGTATTTACACATACTTACATCGTTCATTTTTCTCCCCCTCTTTCTCCCAAGTGGCCTTTTAGGTAAGAATTTGGTGTTTTGGCCAGGTAGTAAATAGGCATTTTGATTAGCTGCTTAGTTGCTACTGTGGTGTATATCTATTGCACACTTTTAGGCTTTGGCTTGAAAATTTGTGACCCGAGTTCTGTCCTTCTAACAGGAATGAGCTGATGTGTGCATTGTATGGTTTTCTGTGCCTGCCTTTGCTTTGAATAATGACAGAGACCTTTATTTTTCTTTTAAAAGCTTTAGGCATTATATTCTGACCTGACAAATCTGGCCTGATTTACTTCCCAGCCATGGAGCTCATTACCTGTCATCTAATTCTCACCATGTTACCTCCTTTTTTCCATGTTCTGATGAAGATTTCTTTGGTATGAGAATCTATCCCTCTCCTCTCCTCTCATCTCTCTCTCTCCTCTTCTGCCTAGCTGTAGGTTGTTCAGCTCTTTATTTAACCAATTAGGTGATGGAGAACCATGGTTTACAAAACACTAACTCAGGAGATGCTTCATATGACAATACCAGAGTCGGAACTGTAACCAGATCTTTGGGTACAGAAATCAGCATTTGAATACACAGCACAAAAATATCACCCAATAAAAGTTTTTCTCTTACAGTAATAAACTATACAATAACAGTTATGAAAAGTATAAGGTAAGAATTATATTCACAATATCTAGTCCATTTGTATTTGGCAGCCTTGGAGAAAGTATTCTGTCTTTGGGCTCAAAGTTCTATATTTAAATAATTTTCTATCATAAATTGCAATTCTATATTCTTTTAGACATTAAAACATTTTTTAAAACTAAATAACTTAAGCTTAATTGTGAGACCGTATCTAGTTTTTAACCCCATCAGAGACCTGAGAAAGATAAATATTACCTGAGTAAATAGGAAGTGTAGAGTAAGCAGCTTCCAAACTATAGAGATGACAGCTGGCTCCCTGGACAGTCATCCAAGGTTCCTTTGTAACATTGGAGCATCTGTCATCTTCCTTCTGGGCCAATATAAGACAGACTTTTCTGTAAAGCAAGAATTATGAAGGACATGCCTACCTTGTCTTGAAAAACCTTGGCAGTTGACTTCCTCCACGTTGTATTTATTCACAGCTTGGACAGCATGCTGTCTGCAATTGAAGTAAGGACAGGGTTTTGTTTTGTTTTTTCCTTGCCTGCTGGCAGCTTGCTATATTTGAAGCAGACTTTATAAAGAGGTGCTTCAATGCCCACCTTTTTCGAAGTATGGGGGTGCTTCCAGGAGCAGACACGTCAAAAAAGCCTTTTATTAAGAAAACATCTTTAAATGCCATATTCTGTAGACCACTGAGGTTTTTGAAGTATAGTATATCTGAATAGGCAAGTTTGTTTCTAGCTATTTACTATTTAACTTTGAAAACATTTATAGGGGGCTAAATAAAGCTTATTTCTGTAATCAACCAAACTAGCACCTAACCAGAAGTTTGATTGGCTGACTACTATCTTGTATTTTTTAAACTATCCTAGACAGTTTGCAATAGTAGCTTTCAAAAACTAGAGCTCTACATTTTTAAATGAGTTGAACTTAAACAAGACTTGAAACATATCTATAGATATGAATATATCTATGAATATGTTTATGTGGTAGGAAAATATAACTAAATTTGTATCAAAATACAAAAATCCATATCAATGTAAAATATGTTAATTTGTTAATGCTCTTTGAAAGTAAATTCAGTAATTATCCTTTTATTCTATCATTCCTACATCTTCCCCATTTTCATCCCTTCTCCCCCTCCCCCCTCTTTTCCCCTAGTACTAGATAGGAAAGAAAGGTTAGAGGAAGGAAGAAGAAATCCCTGACTCTAATCTCCTTTGTTTCCTCTCTGACCAAGAGCATTAACAACTTGAAACCAACTTCCCTTAAATGACAACAAACCCATCGAATGATCCAAAACCACATACCACCTCTTGGGAACAGGGCGTAATTCTTTTAAAATTGCTTCATGCTGTCTGGAGGCAATGTTCTCTTTTGGGGATCCTAAGAAAATCGGGATATTGGTCAAGCCTTAGGAAAGCCAGCTACAACGTTTGTTGCCAGTCTCCGTGTGATGGGAAAGTGCAGGCTTTAGCTGAAGTCCTCGCTGGAACAGTCTTGAGGCTGGACAATAGCTAGCTGTTCTGAAGTTGTTCAGGGTGCAGATTTTTGAGGAAAGTGCTACTGAGGCAGTCTGTAAGGCTAGATCACCCAGGCCACTTGTCTTCTTTGGTGTCTGTTCCAAATCTGTTCATGTTCTATAAACAAACTTTTAAAGGAAATACATATTTCTGCATTAACATATATGGAATGTGCAGTGTGTACAATTCAGTTAATGATGATTTTCTGCTCTTTGTGAAGGTGAAAAGCATCAAACTTGATAAGTTTGTTTGGAATGTATAACCAAACTGCAATATAAATTTCTATTCATGTCATATGAAAAGATGGCATATAAGTCATGAGAACTCTGTAGTCAACCAGATTTATTGGCTATGCACTTTTTTCCATTTGTTAGCTTTTTTCTTTTTATTTATTACAGTTTATTCACCTTGTATCCCACCTGTAGCTCCCTCCTCCTTCCCCTTCCAATCTTACCCTTCCTCCCTCTTCTCCTCCCATGTCCTTCCCCCATCCACTGATAGGAGAGGTGCTCCTCCCCTTCCATCTGACCCTAGCCTATCAGGTCTCATCAGGACTGGCTGCATTGTCTTCCTCTGTGGCCTGGTAAGGCTGCTCTCCCCTCAGGGGAAGGTGATCAAAGAGCCAGCCACTGAGTTCATGTCAGAGACAGTCTCTGTTCCCCTTACTAGGGACCCCACTTGGACAATGAACTGCCATGGGCTACATCTGAGCAGGGGTTCTAGGTTATCTCCATGTATGGTCCTGGGTTGGAGTATTAGCAATACCTACACACAAATCCAGTGTTACAGAAGATACTAGAAGGAAAAATACAACCCAAGAAAACTAACTACTTTCAGGAAATAACCTCACTACAGCAAGGCAGAGACATTTTTATGTCTCAGCCAGTCACAGAGGTATTCCCAGGTAAAGGGATCAGTATATAGGTTGCTTGTTTTGTTGTTGTTCTTGGATTTTTTTCTTTCTGTCTGCAGCCAAGATTCTCATGAGGTCTCTCTTGGTCAAATCTAATTTTTATTACTTTTGAAGAAATCCATAGCTTTTCTGCTATTGAAACAAAGGCTAAACCTCTCCCCAAATGTAATACATTTCCTGCCTTCCATTCTGAAGTTAAGACATCCTTAAAATAAACAGGTTGGTTTAGTTCAGCAGTTTTATTTTTTTTCCCGTAATCCAATATCTCTCAGCAGCTGTTGTTTTTTGCTCATTAGCATTTAAAAATTCTAAAGTTAATAAAGCATTATGTAATCTATCTCTGGAGGGGGGTCTTTGATACCCTTTCTGTTTAGTAAGTATCTCTTTTAACGTATGATTACATCTATCTACAACTGCTTATCCTGTAGGATTATGTGATATACCTGTAATATTTTATAATATGCAAAAACTTACATTTTACTGGAAACAAATGTTAGAGCATTGTCAGTTTTAATTTGATCAAGTATCCCCATAACTTCTACTAAATGTGGAATTACAGAATCAGCCTTTTCAGAACTTAAAGCAGTTGCCCATTGAAATCCTGAATATGTATCTTATAATTTGGTGAATATACTTTAATTTTTCAAACCCTGAATATGTATCTTATAATTTGGTGCATATACTTTAATTTTTCAAACTCTGTATAATGAAACATCCATTTGACAAATTTCATTTCTTTGGGTACCTTTTGGGTTACTTCCTGCAGATAATGGA